TGTAGTTTTGTGTATCGTTACGATAAAACCGGTTTCTGCTAAGGAAGTGTTTTTTACTATACAAAAATTCTGTTTAGAACAATTTAGAACAGTTTTGAGACAATAATAATTTTATAATACACATATTCAGTTTAAATTTTACGATATCGATTTAGGCAAATTTCTACGGATTTTTTGCCTTGTCAAACAACCTTGTCTTTTATTCCAGCGATTAACTTTAAGACCTTTTTCAAAAACTTCTATAAATATATCATATTTGCAATGACAATTTGCAGTGACAAAATAATGTATGGTAATCGTCTTTCATTTTCATGTCAAATATGACATGATAACCAACCAAAATAATACAAATAATAGCAGGAAACTAATATAACAACTAATAAAATAATAAATATAAAATGATCCTGTCGCGATAAATAATAGAAAACAATATTAATAAAAGGATATGAGAATTACTTTTGACCCATTTTATCTATTACTACAAACATATATACATATACATAAAAATCCATATAAAAATTTAATTATAAAATTCAATAATAATTGTTTCCATGCCTTTTAATTCATTTGGTCCTTGAATTAAATATCAGATAAAATATTATTACAAGAATATTGATAATGTACACACACCCCTTCTGAATATAATTTTTACAATGTAATACACACGATTTCCCTTTTTAATTGTAAATTTATTAAATTCGTAACACCGTTCAAATCTTTTGCGGATGCATTTATTATATAGTGTTTTGTATCTCAAAGAAAAAAAAAATTATTATTCATTATACTTTAATGTCAGGGTCGGAAATTTTGGTATATTGCATAATAATAATGTGAAGAAAACTTTTATGTATAGTAAGAATTTTAAGTAATGGGGTACATAATATCCTTCCACTTCTAAAGTATAGTTTACTTTTGAAATAAGAAAAAAATATTTACTTTTATTTCAAATTCGATAATTTCTGTTTCTTGTATGAGTAAATGGAATTTGTTATATAATGTTAATATAATTATTAATATATACTTATAAAACATCTATAAAGTCTTATAAAACATTAAATATAAAAACCCGAGCAACAACAAAAGGTAAAAAAATCGTTTTTCTTCAAATAAATATTGCGTAATTGTTACAATTCTTATAGTTTTTAAAATCGACTTAATTTTACTCACATTTGAAGTATCTATAATAACTGAACTCCAAAATTCGTCTATATATATTGCAGAAATCTGTTGTAAAAATGCTAATGCAGAAATATGTATCAAGTTTCGTGTGTACTTTATGTGTAATTACATTTTAATTCAAAATGCCAGCCTTAGTACAATAGCGATCTTCATGCGGCACTGACAAATTTAAGCTATTTTTTAAATGTATAGTTTGCATATTCACAATATATTATATTTATGTAATTTTAATTTCTCTGTATACATATATGGGGTAATATTTTATATTATATGTTATACGAAAAATATACGAGTGAAATATTTATTTGAAATAAAAATGTTAGGTTAAACCAATGCTTTGTATTGTAGCACTTTTCCCTTCAACAATTAGTGAAAATTCTGCTTTTAAATACAGTCTATGTATATCTACCATACTATTAAAAATATTTTCATTCATAAACGAAATTATTTCTAGGATTGCATATATTTAGGATGAACGATTTATGCAGTCTATGAAATAAAGCAAAAATTAACTTCAAGAGGGCTTAACATAATGCTCGATTTTAAGGGTTAATTGCGTGAGTTAAGGAAAATAATTATATTTTTTAATGTCATGGAATTTACCGTTAGCTTTTTGCGTTTATAGAAATTTGGAAAAACTTGCGGTTTGGGAAATATAAGACGTCAAAAATTCAAATTTCACAAATTTCAAGAGGCGATAGGTTGAAAGGGGGTGGAGATGGAAAAAAATTTTCTTCTAACGAAATAAACTATTTATTAGTATCTAAAAGCTGCTAAAATTTCAGGCTTTTACAACCCGTCGTCTAAAACAAAAATGACATCAAAAATTTGGAAAAAATGGATTTTGGATAACGGTAAATTTGAACGGCCATTTTGTTTTTTTAAAGTTTAACTATATTATGCCACGGTAGGAGAAGTAAGCCACTGCTTTCTGCGTTTGCAAAATTTGAAAAATGCTTATGATTTCATTGCAACAAATAGTTAAAAACTGGCATTTTTTGGGTTTTTGGGGGGGTATAACTTTTAGGGAGGGTGAGATAGGTAAAAATTTTGTTCTACGGAAATAAGTTTCTAGTAAGGATCTATGTACATATTAAATTTCAGCTTTCTATCTTCAAGGGTGTAGAAGTTTTGTAAACTAAAAAATGTCCACGGGCGGGCGGACGGACGGAAAGAGTGAAACTGATAAGAGCTTTTTTCAAAAAATTTTTGGAAAAGTACTAAAAAGTATACTTATTCAAAATTCAAAAAAAAACAAAAACGATTATTTATTGAGGATTGTAATAATGATGACTTCTTGAAATATTTTATTAAAAAACTAAACAAAAACTTATCTATAAATTTTATTTATCTACATGAATTCTGTGAACGACCCTTTATATTGCTTGTTGTATTTGTACATTAATAGTTTATCCCACAAAATGAAATACGTTTTTCTGTTAAAGATTATCAAATAATGAAAAGATTTAATAAAATAGACCGAATCATTAAACAAAGAAGTGCTAAATTTAAAATAGAAAAGAGAAGAAAGAAATTCAACATACAAATTACACTCTTAATATTTCAGATATAAAATTAATATATTGCCATTAAACATACATATAATATGTACATATATACATATTTCCGTATATTATTCAAAAGTAAAGCGAGAACAGTATAATAGATAAATTTGTGTACACACTTAGGAACACATATTGAATGATATAATTGTTATATTTAATGTAAGCAACCCTAATATTGTTTAAGGAAGATCTTCTATGTAATATTAAAAAATCGTAATGTTAAATGGAAAGAACCCTTACTGGACTTGTATATAAGTTGCATTAATTCGCTTATATCTTAAAAGAATAAAATGATAAAGAAAATATTGAGAGTAAATTAAATACACATACATACATATATACATAATAATTTACGTCTTTAAATCAGAACTATTCTAAGTCAAATCTTAAAAATATTTCGAGAGAGCGATTTATAACTTTAATTTTAAATTTGTCTCTCATACTGTTTATAATAATATTTAACATATAAAATATTAGTTATTTTTGAATTTCATTCTTTAAAATATTTAAATATATGTATATATAATCTTGAAATTAAAATTTTCCATAAGAAATTTTAAATTTTGTATACTCACCTGTTTTAAAAAGCGAAAAAACGGCTCTTACGAAGTGTACATATTCGCAGCAAAAATAAAGCTAAAAGTCCAATAAGTAAAAATAAACCATTACTTTAATCAAAAATGGATTAAGGATATTTTTGATCTAAGGTGTCAATAATATGTACTCTAACACTTATGTAAATGTAAACATGATATTTTAAACAAAATAATACGAGTCAAAGTGTAAAGTTTGTTATAAACTATTTGCTGTTTTACTGGAACATATCTATATATATATATAGTGTTATAGCAAATATTAGGGGTGAATTACAAAACGATTAGTGACGGCATAATGCACCTGTTTTATTAAAAAATCAAATAATACTTACGACCCAAGCATTTTAAAATTGTCAAGTGGCTGTTTTGTTTTTTTTTCTAAAATTATTCTTAAAATTTTTTATTAAATTTTCTAGTGAAATTAAAATATGTTTTTTAATTAAATATTTTTTTTTTCAATTATAAAGGCAATTATTTATTTATTTTTAAAGAAATTTGAGCACGTTATAATAGAAATGAAGTTTGGTGAAACCAATGGTTTGTAAAGTAGCACTTTTCCCTTCAAAGTAGCACTGCTTTAAGGAATATTCAGTTACATTATTAAAATTACTTTCGTTATACCAAAATATTTCAAAGATTGCATTCATTTAGGGTGAGAAATATGTGCAATAAAAAAAAAATTTAAAGAAACGCTAACATGATACTCAAGTTCAAGGGTTAATTGCGTCTGTTAAAAAAAAATAATTATATTTTTTGCTGAAAAATCGCAACAGCTATTCATAATTTTAAAAAACGAGCCATAAATGCAAATGCAAAGGAATTCGATTAAATTAATAAAATCCAAAGAATAAAAAAGAATTATTAAAAAAGCAACTGAACTCATTAAAAGAAAAACAACTTGAATTCCGTATTTTTAACACCATTTACATACTTTAGTCAACGAGCAGATTTTTTCATGGATTTGGACTACGAATTTATAATATTTTTAAATAAATTATAGATAGATTTGCGGATTTAGATTGTTGTACTAAATATTTAAATGGATACAATCGCTACGACAACAAATTTTGGAAAACTAATTAAAATTGCAACTGATTTAATGACATCTTCTCATTTGCAATTACATATACTATTCACTTAAAATAATTTGTAAAAAATAAGTTATGAATAAAAATTTATTACAAGAAATTTTAATAGTCCCTATAGTTAAGAACACAATTGTTATAATTAATTAAGATTTATAAATGTAAAATAATAACTTAATCTCTCTCGAAATACACAAAACAAAATAATATTAAATATCAGTTGAATCTACTCATTAGAAAGTTTTTTTTTTCTAAAACATCATAAACTTGATATTGACTTGACCTATACAATAAGATTAGAAAAATATTTTCACCAATACAAAAGATTAGTCTATGACTTGAAACAATTTAAATTACAGATATGAAATTACAACAAAATTTCAGTAACAAGAGCAAAAATAATTTTTTTTTTTTGAAACCTAAGCACAAATACTCGAGCCATTCTTTATCAAAAAGTCAACTTTTTAGTATGTATAGGTACACATTTCTAAGCGAGATAATAGAAGAGCTGATAATTTTCACATTTACTATAAATTTTCTTTTAACATTTCTTTTCATTCGTTTCTCAGCTCAATAAGTATTCGCCTCTCGAACTAGATATTTTTTAGTAAAATGATTCGGTATATTTTTCTTATTTTGTGTGCTGTTTCTTATACTGTGCTTTGTGATGAAACTGCTATTGTTGAAATACCCAATGGAAAACTTCAAGGTTCATTCAATGGTCAATATTATTCTTTTAAAGGGATTCCATATGCAGAGCCACCAGTAGGTGAAAATCGTTTTGAATCACCAAAACCTTTTCAACAAAAATGGAGTGATGTTCGAGATGCAACTAAGTCAGGTGCAACTTGTATTTGTTTAGATCCAGTTGAAAAAGTTCATGAAAAAATTATAACAGGATCTGAAGATTGCCTCTTTATTAATGTTTATTCACCAAAAATTAAAACAACTAGTTTGTTACCAGTTATATTCTTTATACATGGCGGTGGTTTTATGTTTGGTTCTGGAGATTTTCTCGAAGAAACTCTTTTAATGAGTAAAGGAAATTTCGTTTTTGTTACATTCAACTATCGTTTAGGTCCATTAGGTTTTATGAGTACGGAAGATGGCGAAATAACTGGTAACATGGGACTTAAAGATCAACGTTTAGCTCTTGAATGGGTTAACCAAAATATTGAAAAATTCGGTGGGGATCCAAAACATGTTTTGATGGCAGGTTTTTCAGCTGGTGGTGCAAGTGTAGAATATCAACTTTTACAACCAGGTGTAGAAAAACTTGTCAATTCAGCATATTCATTAAGCGGATCTGCACTTGATTCGTGGGCATTTAAAACAAATGTTCTAGAAAAGGTTAAAAAAGTTGCAAGTATCCTAAAATGTCCAAATACTGAATCAAGCGCAGAAATAAAAAAATGTCTCAAAGAAAAGCCTGCAACAGAAATTGTAAATTCCACAAACGAATTCTTAATCTATAATTACCATCCTCTTATAGTGTGGGCTCCATCAATTGAGTCACCAGAATCCAAAGATGCTATATTAACAGAAGCACCAAAAGAACTTATCAAAAAGGGAAAAGTAACTAATGTTCCATATTTATCATCATTTACTAGTCAAGATGCAGGTTTTCTTGTTGCTGAAATTCTTTTCAAGAAAGAAGACGGAACAACCGATTTGGAATATTTTAACAAAAATTACAAGAAACTCTTACCTTCGATGCTTTTATATGAAGAGAGATTTGAAGACGAAACCGAATTAGATCAATACACTGAAAAATTATATAAAGATAATGGAATATCAGATGGAGTAGTTACAATGGAAAATTTCAATAAATTCATAAAACTTGCAACAGATGAATCGATGACAAACGGTATAAAAGAATCTTGGCAGTTGCATTCTCAATATTCATCAGCTCCAAATTATTACTATGAATACGATTACCCAGCAAAAATAGGCCTTGGAAATTTGTTTTCTAATAGAACTGATATTAATTTCGGTAAGATTACAAAAATTCATTTGCATGTTGGCATATGTTAATAGATTACTTTTACAAATACCTTAAGGTTGTGTTCATGGGGATGATGTTTTCTTAATGTTCAACCATGCTCTAAGGGATATAAGTAAACTAAATGATGTTGAAAAAAGGCACTCTGATAATTTTATGAAATTATTAGAAACTTTCGTTAGCAAAGGGTAAGTAATACATAAAATTAAACAGAAATGATTTTAAAAATTAATTCTAATTTTAGAGTTCCACATTTCGGTGAAATCGCACTTCCGAAGAATGCCAATTTGTCTAAAAAAGTTGAGTATTTACACATTTTAGAAAACGAAGCGGTAATTGAGAAACTTTAAAAAAAAATATATTGTACCTGTGTGTACATACCTGTAAATAACGATCAAAGCTACAAGAATAACTGAACGATCGAATAACTGACACATTCAAAACTGAATATGTATGTATGTATGTACATATTTAATTTTCTAATGAATAAATAAAACTTATTTAACTCTGATAAGCCGAAAAAAAACTTAGACTATATTACTTATTTTATCAATTCATCAATGTAGGTGTCTGTTATATAAGCAGTTATACAAAATTTTCAATTAAATATAAGAATATAACATGTAATAATATGTGTATGTATAAGTATATATGCTTACGTGCGAGTTCTGCCTTATATATTTTGCACTTGTTTGAATTATCATTGATTTAACACGATCAGCAAATTCTTGATATTGCAATTGTAATGACATCTGCACTCTTTTTCCTTGTTTTTAGGAAATTTGTATGTACATACATATATGTACCTAGAAGTACATATATGAATGTACATACAAATTTTAAATTTTATAAAAAATTACAGTCTGTTTTTCTTCAGGTAAATATTTTTAAAACTTAATTTGAAAATCTGTTTTGAATTTTTGGATTATATAACTAAATTTTGACAATTTTCTTAACAACTTGTGATACTTTTTAAAAAAAACCTTTCAATTTTCCACAAAAATACAACAAAATGCGCAAATAATTTTTTGAAAAACGTTTTTATTTTATTCACAATATAATGGTTATTGGTTGTGACAATTAATGTTAAAGAATAATATTTCGACTATCGAATTTTAATTTCATTTTACTTTATGGCCATCTAACGGAATAAAGATACATTATTGTTGTGACTATGTATTCATAATACTCGTATTACATATTATTGTGCAAATTGTATGTTGATACTTGTTCATTTAATTAAATTTATTTCGTATCAAAATTTAGTTCAATAAAGTATTTTAATTTTGAAATATGAATGTAAATTAAGTAAATTATTTGAATATTTACTCAGAAAACACTTTTTAAAACATCTTTCGTGAAATTTAATTTTCAACGATATCCCTGCAAATTATAATAAGTAGGTTTGAGTCTTTGATAGTGACATTTATCCATTAGAAATTAATATGTCATTTTTGAGGTTATGTCCTTACATTTATATTTGTTTTTGTTTATCATCAAGAAACAAACCTAAAAATACTTGTTCTCTTCCCGGTATTTTTATATTTTAATTTACTTAATTTACTTTACAAATTGAAGCAATTGGATCATCCACTTTCTTACGGAAATAAAACTAGCAAAATGAGTGAAGGAACTGAATATAAAAAAGAACCGTCTAAGTTTACATCTCAACTTTTCACAACACAAGTAGGAGAATCTACTTATAATTTTCGTGTTTTAAAAATGGTAAATTCTATATTCATATACATTGGAACTCAAGGTAATGAAAGTTTAGATGAAATGGGAATAGCAATGCCAATGAAAAATAATGAAATAGTTGGAACAACAATAGCTGGTCCTTTATTGGGTTGTGATAGTCAAGAACTGGCTAGTAAATTAGCAAAACGGCTAGGTAAACAGGTTTTCATTAGTTGTAATATTCCTACAGATAGAATGATCAGACCAGCGATTGAAAAGGCTTTAACTGAAAAAATAAAACTGCATCCAGATGCTTTTTAAAACATTTTTATTGTGTTTTATTGCTACAGAAATTGAATCATATGATAGTTAAGGTAAGGACATTATTTCTAATAATTATGGGGATGATATTAGGCCGCGGCATTTTAAAACGGATAGAATTAAATGAAATATGTATATATTTTTACCACAGATAATACTTTTAAAACTGAAAATAATAGTTTATTTTCAATCAGAATTTCTTGATATATATGTACATCTTAGTATATCGCAATTCATGTAAACTGGATTATATGTATTTAGCAATCGAAAAATATAATTTAATTGTATAATATTCCAATATAAAAGACAAAAATCTCCCTCTCTCTAATTCTAAAAAAAATGTAAAGCGTTAGTTGTAAGATTAAACAGAAAAAAAATCATCTCATCTCATAGTAGTCTAATAACTTAATAAGACAATAATAAAATGTAAGGTTCCTTGTAATTTTAGGGATTTTTGATAATTCAGTTCTAAATTAGGTCTTAATATGCAAATTCAATAAATCAAAACTGCAAAATCTATAAAGGTTCTAAAATAATAACTACTACAAAAATATTATAAGTTAGAAAAAGGGCATAATAGAAAAATGTTGATTATTGCACATTCAGTTTCTGCAGTTTTTGTAAGGATGTGCGAAAATATTTCTTTTAAAACCTTCAGTGCAGGTCTGAATTATCGAAATTCCCCTTTTTGAATCCAATTTCTAACATACACACAATAAATTTCATAAAATACTTGAGTATATAATATTACAATAAAAGAATTTCATGCGTAAAATACGTCCCAAATACATAAATGCATAAATATCAACTAAAACTTTAAAACTCCATGAGGTTATTCTATTTTAATTTATTAAATTTTCGAATCTTATTAATTATTTTTTGTGCTTTACCTTTCATCAGTTTCATATTTATTTTTGGACATTTCACTATATTACAATGCTAATATAAAACTTCAAAAGATCTTTAAGAAATACCCAAAACAAATCATATTTTAAAAAAGTATTTTTATTTTACAAACTCAAAAAATAAAAAGAAAAAATAATGCGATGTGAACAGAACATGAACAAATTTCCATTACTTAAACAGATATTGTCTTCATTAATATTTTAAAAAATTTCTAAATTTATAAGATTATTATCGATAATTTTGTTGAGGAACAAAATTCAGAAATAAAATTTGATATAAGGGTTCATAAAAAGTGAAGAAAACCTAGAATAAGTTTCAGATATATTAATAAACACAACGTGCGCTTGCCTGTTAAATAAAATTAATTTTAGTTTCTGAAAAAAATTAATTTTAATCATAACAGATTCATTTTACGAATAAGAGAACAATATTTTAATAATTTGAAACATAAAACAATATGAAAACAATACCTCTCTTTTTACTAACAATGTTATGGGTAAATATGAAATTCATTGCAAGACCCCACGGATTGCATAGGATGCATTTGAATTTAAGATATCTGGACGAAGATAATTTTTATTTTGTTTTTACGTTAAGTTAGTTGAATTATATAATTCTTAATTTTTTTTTTCTACTGTGCTAAGTGAAATTTTGTTATAGATAAATCGTATCTGTAAATAAAGGCCAGGTGAGTTGGATTAAAAAAAAAAAAATTCTTAAAATTAAAAATTAATGGAAATTTCGCAATGTTTTGGCAAATATGTATAATTGTGGTGTATTTTTAAAATATTTTAAATATTTTAATAACGTTTAAGTTGGAAAAAATTTAAATTTAGTTAAAAAATTCTGTTAAAATAAAAAATTACGAGTCCTGCGAAATCTAATTGAATCTATTCAAATACATTACTTTGAAACATATTTTTGTACAAATATTAGTATGTATATTTTATTAATTATTAAATATTAGTAATAGTTTAATATATTAATATATGGAGCGGAAGTGATAGTCGCATAATACGCATTAGTAACCCAACATGTATAACATTCAATCATTGGCTAATACATTTGAAATATTGAGAACGTTGTCAATGTCAACAAAAAAATATTGATAAGCTATCAGTAATAATCACCTTTTTTTTACCAATTTTTTTATTGCAACTAGATACACGTTATAAGAGATTAAGTTGCAAGTTACTGTAAAAAAAAAATAAAATAAAAATATAAATTGTTTGTTATCATATTCAACTTTATCATAAAATTTTTGAAGAACTCCCATGATCGATTGTAATTACAATTGAATAACCTTGCATTATAATATATATTGATCTTTAGGAAATTACTAATAAACAGTTCATGTACACATTCTTTAAATAGCGACAAATGTAATGATAAAGTATAGAAATTATATTCAATTGCCGTAATAAATTACAGGTACCACGTACGTAATTAATTCGAAAGAAATTAATAGATTCAATATTAAAATTATTTCCACTAGATAAAAATTATTACTTATATCTGAAAATCTAACTAAAACAATTCAACTGCTTTAATAACCTTATTTAACTAAAATAATCCATGTTAAATTATCACGTTTAGTGGAATTGTCGCATTAAATGCTTTTTAGTTCGAAATTAATGATTTTCTTTAAGCATGTTTTGAATTCAACAGGAGCAAAATATATTGAACGTATTACTTTATTTTACAAGACATTGTAATGCAACAACATTTGTAATTGAAAAAAAATTTTGATTTTCAAAATATTCAATAGAATTTCACATTACTTTTTCTACTATAGGATTACATTATTAAATTTGTAATCATAGAGGTAATAATAGAAAAGCTATTGTATAATCTTGCTCTTGCAATTCTGTAGTTTATATGTATTTTTTATCTTCACTTTTGAATTAAATGTAGGAAAAATTATCTGGTCTCATTAAAATACAATCTTTGACCTCATCATAAGTGCATAATATTTTAAGTTTTATATACTTTCACCAAATTGATATCAAAAAGGCGTTAAAATTAATAAAAGCAATACAAAAATAAACAAAAAAAAATTACAGGATTTTCCAATTTTACTTTAAAAAAAATTGTTGGTTTAGCCATGACAATTAAATTTCACTTTATATACATATTAAATAATGAATTGACTATAACCTGCAACCCAGAAATTATAGGTACTTCTATTATACATCTGCACATGTAGGTGCTTATATTACAAATACTTTTATACAACTAGAAAAAACAAGTAATTTCATTTTTTTATCAAAAAATTTTTTTCGGAAACTCCAAGTATTTTTCGTATTTGAAATATATGTATAAGTGTTATACGTTATATTTTTAATTTAAAATCAATAATTTTTTTTTTTTTTTGATATTGCCTAATAAATATATTATAACTAATTTACTAAGAAAAATTGTAGATAATTAAAAATGCTATATGTTATACCTAAAGATACTTTTTCTTGTTATTTACTCTACTAGGGGGGTATAATGGTATATTAAACAAATATTCTTATCGTACTCTTTATCATTCGAAAATCTTTAAAAAGAAAAAAATGTGACAATTAATTTTTTTTTTAATTTGTTGGTTTACTCAACAAATTTTTAAGTTCGTTTTCATTTTACTCTCAATTTTTTTCAAATTATTTTTTTCCTTTGAAACTTATCATTGAAACCTTCATTATATGTCTAGACCCATTGTGTTTTTTTTTTGTATTTAATAATAATAAAAAAATATAGTTAGTTTAATAATTTAAACTTTGTTATCTGTTTAACAAGGCAAGTGTACACTTAAAATTAGAAATATTTAAAAAAAAAATTTGCGTATAATTTTATTAAGAAAAAAAAAAAACCAAAAAGGAAACCACTGCCTATTATAGGAATAAAACAAGTAGAAAACTATAAAAACTTCTCTTAATTGTTCTTAAAAAATAAATTTTAGTTAGGTGGAACTAAATTGTTATTAAGGAATATTAAAATAGAGTTTGTTCAGAGTCATCAAATAAATGTTGTACGATTTTATCGAAATCGAAAAGAAATAAAATTTCAATTTAAATTTTGATACAATGTATTCTTTTTTTTCCAACACATTGTATTACTTTACATTTGGAAACTTAAAAATCTTGATCCTTTGTATTATTTCATTCCATTGCCCACTTTAATAAGAAAATTTTTTGTTTCAACTTATTTTAATTAAAAAATATACAAGCATCGAAAAAATTTTGGATACAAAATTTGACAACCATAGCAGTGCTAACGACGTCGCAGAAACAACATCAAATAAATTCTGAACGTATTACACATCGTCAAATTTTTTTGTTGATATTTTAGAAGATGATACAATATGTCTGATACATCGTAGATGCATTTCCGAAGATACCCATACTTTTGATTAAAAGTATTAAAGAAATAATTTTTCATTAACAGATGTAGTTAGGGTATGTCCAGAATGGAATTGCAGTTTTCCAAACATCCAATGTTTTAGTAATCGCATCTACTATACAACTAGATAACATTCTCAATTCAGTTAATTCTTCAATCGAACATGTATTCAAAATACTTAATCAAATTTTATTTTTAAAGCACACTCTTATTGTTTTTAAAACTATTTTAAAATTTTTGCGTTGCAATTTTTACAACAACTTCGATCTAATAAGTATTTATTAGTACTTCAAAATCTCTTTAGATGCTGCCATTACTTAGTGTTACAAAAAATTATTAACACGTTGATTCCCGTGTTCACCATGCAACATAACAAACACTTATTTTGAGTCCAATTTTGTATCACCAGTGAACATTTTCAAAGCGTAAAACTTTCCTTTTCTAAAGCTTCATAACTGAGTAATGGTAAAATTTACGTTATTACATATTATATAGATATATTAAATATATTAACTATATCTATTATCAATATGCATTTATATTTATTCTTGGAAATAAAGTTAAGACAATTTAATTTAATAAAAAAATATTTATTTATTTAAATTAAAAATAAATTCATGAAAAATAAAAGCTTTTATTTAATTAGATATTGAAACGTGATGATTGTCACTTATAACGAACAATTTGTTATCAATCATTTAATTAATTATTTTCCA